GTTCCAGGACCCAGGGTGCAGCCCCTCTCCACGCACCTGGGCCTGCTCTGCCAGGAAGGTGATGGATGCGATGCCCATGCCACTCGGGCCCTCACTCATTTCAGCTTCCTGCTGCTCTGGAGCGCAGTGCTCATCATGTACCCCACCAGCCTGGCTGTCATCTCCATGACCTTCTCCAACTACGTACTGCAGCCCGTGTTCCCCAACTGTATCCCCCCAGCCGCAGCCTCCCGCGTGTTCTCCATGGCCTGCCTGAGTGAGTACCCACCTTGGGGCGGGGCTGGGCCTCTGCTACCTGCCCTGTGTGGGGGGACTGGGGAGCGGCTCCAGCCGCCAGCCCCCAGCCCCAGAGAGGTCAGCCTCAGGGCGGAGCGTCTTGCACTCTGGCTGCTGCAGGGAATGCGTCCCCGGCAGCTGAGGCAGACTTGGCTGTGGCCCACCCGCCCGTTCACCTTTCCTCCCCAGTGCTCCTGACGTGGGTGAACAGCTCCAGTGTGCGCTGGGCCACACGCATCCAGGACATCTTCACTGGCGGGAAGCTGCTGGCCCTGTCGCTCATCATTGGGATGGGCTTTGTCCAGATCTTCCAAGGTAGGGCCAGGGTGGGGCTGTGCCCAGGGCTGGGGAGTTGACACTGAACCTTGACCTCTGGACCTCCAGGACACTTCGAGGAGCTGAGGCCCAGCAATGCCTTCGACTTTTGGATGACGCCCTCCGTGGGTCACCTGGCCCTGGCCTTCCTGCAGGGCTCCTTTGCCTTCAGTGGCTGGAACTTCCTCAACTATGTCACTGAGGAGCTAGTGGACCCTCGGAAGTGAGTGGTGCGCTGGGCTGGGCCCTGGGAGAGGGCGGGGCCGGGCAATGGGAGAGGCAGCCTTCCTGCACAGGCCTGCTGTCACCTGTGACTCGGTCTGGCCATCTGCCTGACCACGCCACTGCCCCACAGGAATGGCTCTGGAGAGACAGCCAGGACGCTTGTCTTTCAGCCTGGCCCTGCAGGGCTGCGGGCAAGTCACAGCTTCTTGCGGGGCCTCAGAAACACTGAGTATCATCATTCCACTGTAAATGGGTCCAGCTATTTGCATTTAGCCAAAAATTATACATGTGTGCACAACATGGTCCCTGCAGATGATGCCAGTGGCTCCATCTGATGCTCAGCCAGGGACTCCATAGTGAGCAGTTCCAGTGGGAGCTGGGCTGACAGGGAGTCCCAGGGGCACCCTAGGTCTGTGGGTGGAGTTCTCAGGGCACTTCTGGGATTTTCAAGGCTGATTTGGGCTGTATGTAATTTTCTCTTTATGTGCGGACATTAGGCCTGCCCCTTAGGATATAGTATGGCCCCTCCCCCACTCCCTTCCTCCCACCAGCCTGTGCCCTGGCTGGGTTAGGGGGTTGCGGGCGGGGGCAAGACAGACTGCAGCGCGGCCCCCGCCCCTGCCCCCAAGGCCACCAGCAGAAGCAGGAGATGGAGCCATGGCCCCTGGCCCTCCTCCGCTCCCCTGAGCCCGCCCCCAGAGGACGCACCCTGACGCATTCCACCCCTGCCCCCAGGAACCTACCTCGAGCCATCTTCATCTCCATCCCTCTGGTGACTTTTGTGTACACCTTCACCAACATCGCCTACTTCACTGCCATGTCCCCCCAGGAGCTGCTGGCTTCTAATGCAGTGGCCGTGGTGAGTAGGGCCCCCCTTGGCCGCCAGCCCTGCCCTGCCCCCGCCCACCCTCACGCACTGCCTCTCTCCTGTGCTCACTCAGACCTTCGGGGAGAAGCTGCTGGGCTACTTTTCTTGGGTCATGCCTGTCTCCGTGGCACTTTCCACTTTTGGAGGGATCAACGGCTACCTGTTCACCTCCTCCAGGTGACTGGACTGGGAAGAGGGTGGTCCAGGTGAGGCAAGGTAGGTGGCCTGGCATGCGAGCAGTGCTGGAACAGGGAAATCCTGCCAGGTGGGGTCCTCCTGAAGCTTGGACAATGAACTTCCCAGTAACAGATGTCTGACCCCAACTCTGAGGAACAGAACACAAGAGGGAGGCAGGCTAGAAAGGGGGAAACTGCCTAGTGGTGCCGTTGGGGCCCGGAGCAGGGAGTCAGAGGTGACTACTCAAGAGGGTCATCAGGTCTAGAGCTTAGGTCCATGATCTGGCCAGCGGGGAGACCCAAGGCCAGGCTCACGGCCCCCACCATCTCTGTCCCCAGGCTGTGCTTCTCTGGAGCCCGCGAAGGGCACCTGCCCAGCCTGCTGGCCATGATTCATGTCAGACACTGCACCCCGATCCCTGCCCTCCTCGTCTGCGTAAGTTGGGAGACCAGGCTGGTAGGGCAGGGAGCCTGAGCCTCTCAGCAACGTGGGTAGTGGCAGGGAGGAGCCCGATTCCTGGTGGGCAGCCCATGGAGGGAGTGGGGAGCGCCAGGGCTCCCTGGCCTGCTGGGCTGAGCCTGAAGGCCCAGGACAGCCTGCAGGGGTGACGGGAGGCAGGTGGGAGGCCAGCCCTCAGCTCGGTCCTCTCCCAGTGCGGGGCCACGGCGGTTATCATGCTTGTGGGAGACACGTACACGCTCATCAACTACGTGTCCTTCATCAACTACCTCTGCTATGGCGTCACCATCCTGGGCCTGCTCGTGCTGCGCTGGAGGCGGCCGGCGCTCCACAGGCCCATCAAGGTGAGGCTTGGGGTAGGACGTGCTGGAAACTATCAGAACTTCACCCATTTTGGGCATCAGTGGCAGGTGATGACGGCAATGCGGGTTCCAGGTTTACCTGATCAGGGCTCTGTGTGCACTGATCTCATAACAACCCCACAAGGTGGGTGCTTTGGAAAATGAGACTCAGACACTAGTTCATGGTTGCACAAGATTCCATGAGCCCACACCAAAACAAAAGACTCTAAACTGAGCTAAAAGTCCTCCTGAGTGTTTGCATCTAAATCCTTGAGCTGGAGAAGTGTTCACTGCCTGAAATGTGGCAGACCAAAAAAAATTGACCTTCAGCCAAGCGCAAGCTGCAAGTCCACATCCAGTCACTGTGTGGAGCTCAGACCTGCTGACATTTTGACAAAACCTTAACAATTTAGCCAACTGGCCATCCATGAATGAATGGGCTTCCAGCACAATGGGCTGATGCCAGAAGGGGGCCGACCTCTCAGGCCTCAGCTTCCAGGAAAGGGGGGAAAGTGCTGGGCGCCCAGGGTTGTGAGACAGGAGGGGGGATCCCGCACCATTGGTACGCCGCTGACTCTCCACAGGTGAACCTCCTTGTCCCTGCCACATACTTGGTCTTCTGGGCCTTCCTGCTGGTCTTCAGCTTTATCTCAGAGCCCATGGTGTGTGGGGTCGGCGTCATCATCATCCTCACCGGGGTGCCCATTTTCTTCCTGGGAGTGTTCTGGAGAAGCAAACCAAAGTGTGTGCACAGACTCACAGGTGAGCCGGGCAGCCTCCCCCAGGAGCCAGGGCTGGGATGGGGCCCTCGTGGAGGCTTGCCCTAGAGCTCCCTCTTGAGCTGCTCTGGCAACACAGGGCCTAACCACCACCAAATGTCTCCCCACAATGTGGCCCGAGTGTCCAGGACCCACCACAGAGGGAGCAGCTCCCTGAGGACCCCTATCCCACGGGGTCAGACCCAAGGTCTATCTGTCTGTCTGTCCTCAGAATCAATGACACACTGGGGCCAGAAGCTGTGTTTCGTGGTCTACCCCCAGGCTGCCCCCGAGGAGGAGGAGAACGGCCCCTTCCAGCCCTCCCCACGACCCTCCTTGGACAAGCCTTTGAAGACACAGTGAGACACTTGTGGAGCTTGAAGCAGCTATTTCTGTTTACATGTTGTTTATTGAGGAGGTGTTTTGCACAAAAAAAAAAAAAAAAAAGTTTTTCCTGGGAAAAAAAAAAAAGAGAGATCCCACTCTTAGAAGCCTGTGTGAAGAAAGCCCCAAGGTACAGACAGTGTTCCCTGTCAGCACTGCCCTGTTGGCTTCTCCCGAAAAGATCTATGAACAACACAGGGGTGGGGGTGCGCTTCCTCGGGTTGGGGGCACGGGGAGCCAGTGGGGAAGGCACCAGCAAGCTCTGGAGGAGTCTCTCTGCACTGGGGCTCTGCCGCTTGATCCAGGCACTCCCTCTCCGGGACCACCCCAGAGGGACGTCAAAGATCAGGAAGTGGCCAGTGTGACCCCCCAGGCCCAGCAAGGCGAGGTCGAGGCTGGGCCCCCCAGGAGAGTCCAGGGATTGCCTTCATAACTGCCTTTCTTCCCACAAATCCCTATGGAGTGAGTAGCAGATCTTCAGAACTCACGGCCTCACCCTAGTTTGCAGGTAAGGCAAGTGAGGCCCTGAGACAGGATGGGATGGATTTGGCCACCACTGGTGCGAGCCTCTACTGCTGTCTCTTAAGAAAGTGTCAAGTAGCATCTCCCAGGGCCTTGAGGCCTACAAGACCCATGGGCTTCCTCTACCCCGTGCCCATATTTTTAGTGCCATAGTGCCCATGAGATTGAGTCCCTCAGCTAGAAGGCAAAAGGCAAAGGTCATCAGCCTGGCCAGGCCCATGCTGACACCACAGGCATGAGGACAGGGGCAGAAGCCTCCTAGCCCAGCTCCTCCAGGGCCCGTTGGGAGGACGGAGGAGCGCTCAGCGCCAAGAGCGCCCACCATGAACTAGATCCAATGTGACTATGGCCATGTTGAGAGTAGGCACAGCTCCGGGTCCCCAGGGTGCATGAAGTGAGAAGCCATGGAACACCCCAGACAGCTTTGCCCTGGCCCTCCTGCTCCTCTGGAAAGGGGCTCCCAGAATGTAGAGGGGGAGGTAGAAGTGAGACCCCAGGTGCCTGGGTGGACCCTGGGGCCCCAAAGAAGGGCCCCTTGCTCTCCTCCCCTGCCGAAGCTCCCATAGCCCCCGGTGGGCGATGCCAATGCAGCAAGCTGGCTGGGCTTCAGAGTGGGCCACACCACAAGAAAGAAGGACTCGGAGGCAGGGTAGAAACGACTGTATATTCCCTGGTTACAAAGCGGGGCTGTGGCAGTCACCAGCGCCTCCAGTGGGTCAGCAGACCAGCAGGGCCTCATCATCACTGGCCTCCAACGTTGGGGAGCAGGGGGGTGGGGGGCTCCTGCAGACACCCAACGGCTCTGGTGGGTGGGGGCCTAGGGTGCTGCTGGCAGTGGGGGCTGGGGGGTGAAGGTCCTGGGCCGAATGGGCCTCCCGAGGCATGTCCACAGGAGCTGGGCTGTCCACCAGAGAGTCCCTGCAGGCCTTTCTGTCCTTGTCCACTGGCCTGTACTCTGGGTCCCGCAGGCCCGAGGGGGGCAGCACGGAAGGTCCCACCTCTGGTGCATGGCCGTGGGCAGTGGGAGACTCATCACCAGCTGCCCCAGGGCTGCCTGTGTCCGTAAGGGGTTCCGGGGGGTCCAGGGCGGCCCCCCGCGCAGGCTGGAGGAGCCCATCACCCAGCACCGTCTGTGAGGTGCGCGCAGCGGTCAGCAATGGGATCTGTCCCCGCGGTGCCCGCGGCCGGTGAAAGAGTCGATTCCACAGACGACCCAGCCGGCGGCGGGAGGGTCCTCGGCGGGAGGCGTGCCGGCGCATCTGTCGCCGCATGGCCGTGCGAAGGTTCTGTAGCACGGAGGCCTGGAGAGTGGGGCGACAGCTGAGGGGGCAGAGGTCAGCACGACCCCAAGAAACCCAAGGCCCCAAGAGACCAACTTGTCATCACCCCCTATCTGGCCACGGCCCCCGTGTCACCCTCCCTAGGCCTCACGTCCCACCTCCCTCTACCCCTGGAGCAGGTTGGCAGCACACTGTCCAACTTTCCCCTCAGGCTTCCTGTCTCAGCCCCCTCTAAGGGGCAGCCGGGAGCCGGGGACCTGTAGGGTCTCATGCCCTCTGGAGCTCACCTGGGATGCACTGTAGACAGGAAAGTCCTCCACAGGTGGGATGAGGCCCTGTGCAATGAGCTGCCCATAAGACGGGGGTGCCTCCCGCCGCACAAACTCAGCCTCCAGGCGTGTCATCTGGGTCTCAAAGGCCCTGAAAGCAATGGGCGGAAGGGCAGCATAGCAGGGCTGGCCAGGACCCCACTCTTCCCGCCTCACACGGGGCCCCATGCAAGGGCTCACAGCAGGATGTGGAGCCCTGCCATTCCCTCTGGACATTCTGAGATGCCTGGACCCTGGATGCACAAGAGAAGTCCCATGTGGCTAGCCTGAGCCCCAACTTACAAACTCACAGCTGTAGGAACAGTGAGCCCAGAGCCTCTCTCCAGAGAAATGAAGAAACCGAGGCTCCTGGCCTGCGACCGCGGGCACCGCAGCAGTGAGGCATGGCCCACCCACCTGTACTCCTGTGTGCGCAGGGAGTAGAGCTTGAAGGCACAGCCCAAGGCAATGACAAGCAGCAGGCCGCAGACCAGGCTGCCAATGAGGGCGGCGGTGATGACCTTCCGGGGCACGGCCGCCAGGCAGCCATGCTCATCACTGCCGTCCTGGCAGTCCTCCTGGCCATCGCAGCGCCACGTCTCAAAGATGCACAGGTTGGTGCCACAGTGGAAGGTGCCAGGCTGGCAGGAGAAACAGTTTTTCTCATCGGCGCCATCAGGGCAGCTTTTCTGGTTGTTGCAGCGGTCGGCAGACGTGTAGCACAGGCCGCTGCCCCCCTCGCAGGGGTACTGGTTGGGCGGGCAGGCGGGGCAGCCCTGCTCATCTCGGCCGCTGGCACAGTGCCACAAGCCATCACAGCGCTGTGGCTCCGAGTAGCAGCCCTGCTCGCCTGTGTCACGCGTGTCACCCTCAATGCTGCTCCCACACGGCTGTTCCCATGGGAGGCAGTAGCCCTTCACCTGGTAGGTGGCGTTGAAGCCATGGCCAGCGCTGCGGGCGCGAGCATGGTAGGCCACAGTGAGGCGGCCCTGGGCAGCCTCAAGGCTCACAGGCCGGTGGTTGCTGCGATAGGACAGCGTCTGCAGCAGGCGGTCCCCACGCTCACCCAGCCCCTCATACACCTGCACATAGTCATCATAACCCAGCCGCAGCTCCAGCTGCAGCAGCACACGTCGTGGGTCTTGCGTGTCCACCAGCCACGTGCAGTGAAGGTCCGAGGGTCCTCGGGCTGCACCAAACAGGTCTGGGGAGGCAAAGGAGCCATAGAAGCTGCCCAGCCGCCGGCCACATGCCAGGTCAGGGCAGCCAGCCTCATCGGAGCCATCGCCACAGTCCTGCGTGCCGTCACAGCGCCGCTCTACGGGCAGGCAGCGCGTGGAGCGCGCTCCGCTGCAGGGGAAGGTGCCCCCAGGGCACAGGCTGCCAGGTGGCTCAGAGGCAGGTGCTGAGCAGTTGCCCTCGTCAGAGCCATCGCCACACTCATCCACTGCGTTGCACTGCCACGGGCCCGGCAGGCACTTGCCGTTGTCACAGCGGAACTCATCTGCCTGGCAGGACACCTGGCCCAGCTTCCCTGAAGGATAAAAAGCACAGGGGAGGGAAGTCAGGGGAGAACTGAGCCTCCCTCCAGCAATGAGGCCTGAGGCCAGGAGGGAGCAGGGTGGCTCCTGAGGCTCTGCCTCTTTCTGCAGAGCCTAGGAAGAGGCAGGAGACATGGAGAAGAGTTCTGGCCTCTCCACGGCCACTGAAGGGACAAAGACGCCTGGCAGGTCAGGGTGAGCTAAGTCTCTGACATGAGGGTAAAGGACAAGCTGGGGGTCAGGGGGGAGTCCCCACTCGAGCCCAGTCTGTGACATGGGGTCAGTGACCTTGAGGGGCTCTGAGGCACCCTGAGGCAGCAACATGTGCAGCCCTGGTCCCACCGCTGTGCTCGGACTGACAGGGCTCCTTGGGGGAGACCCTGCAGGGAGCAGACAGGTGGAGGGTGCTGCTCTGGCCCCAGGCTCCCAAGCGACGCACTGAGTGCTATGTGGTGCCCTGCGATGCCCTGCTACTGGTGTCACCTCGGATGTATGAGAGACGGAAGCCCTGGGCCTGGCCGGAGCTGGAGGCATCGGAGTGGAAGAAGATCCAGACGTGGTCCCGGGCAGAGATGAACGCAGGTGGGATGGCAGAGCCGCAGAGCCGGAAGGCCTCCTGGTGAGGCGGGGCTGCCGGGCCCAGCATGAGCCAGTCCAGGGAGCACTGATGGGACTCCTCCACATCAAAGTTGCGGAAGCTGCAGGAGGGGAGAGAACCGTAGACCTGGGTCAGGCAGGGCCCACGTGGCCAAGGACCAGCAGGGAACGATCAGGCCTGAACTCAGGACAAGGATGGCCAGCCCACCCCGCCCCCCTCTCCTCTACTGCCAGACATCCACGGGTCTGAGGGCAGCTCCAAGGAGAATCAGGACAACTCTGAAGAGCATCCTTCATGTCAGCCCTCTGCAGCTCTGGGAAGGCCTTGCCAGCACACACATAGCATCTCCACCCCAAAGGCAAAGTGGAGGCCCAGTCAGCAGCCCCATCGTGGACAATTCCCTCCCCTGACACTCTCCCAAGTAGGGAGACCCAAGAGTCCAGATCCCAACCACACTGAGTCTGCTGGGACAGACTCTGCACAAACTCACAGGCCTGTGCACTGTGGGGAAGGGGCATGCCCATGGGGCTGGCCTAGCCTGGGGCTGGGGGACAGCTTGTCACCTAGGAAGCAATATACTAGCCCAGGACCCTCTGACACCTGTGGGATGAGCAGGTGCCAAAGCTTGGAGTCGGTGATGGAGGGTGAAGTCTTTGAAGACAGAGCACCCGAGAGCCATGGCCCTGGGGCCGTGGGGAAGCAGGCGCAGACACTCAGACCCTGGTCGTGCCCATCCCACCCCGTGCCCTGGAGGTATGGAGTAGTAGCTGGGGCCTTCTGGGTACTGGCATTTAGGGGAGTGACCCCCCAGCCAAATATCCCCATGGCCACCCAGGCCAGGGGTTCCAGCCTCAGTTTCACCACCTGGTCACCGCACTCCATTTCCCTCAGCACGTCCCTGCAACTGGAGCACCTGGGCTCCTGCCTGGTCCCCTCTCATGCCGAGACTGCCCTGCGGACCCGGGGAAACCCTGCTCTGGGATCCGTGCCAGCCTTGCCTCAAGCCACCCCTGCAGGACCGAGAAGACACCACTGCCACCTCAGAGAGAAGCGGGCTGTGCCCACCAGCCCCTAGGGCTCCCCCCGGCCTTGCAGGCCTGAGGTGACTGACAGATCCCATGGCCCCTGAGAGAGGCTCAGGACAAGACGAGGCCCTGCTCCACGCAGCCAGCCTCAGAGGCCCGCAGAGACCTGGGGAGCTGGGCACACTCACATGCTCACACATGCTCACAGGCTCTTACACGCTTACAGCTCACATATGGTCATACCTGAACTCTCACACAGGCACTCGCACGTACACACCTGCTCATATATGTGCCCTCTGAACTTGCTCAGACATATGCTCATGCACACATATGTGCTCATACACATTCACACTTGTTCTTTATACCTGCTCAGATGTGGGCTCATAGACATATACAAGCACATGTGTGCTCACACACGTACACTCACACGTCCGCTCCATCACACATATGCACACACACACATATAGCATGTGCAGACCCATACAGAGTCCCTTGGGAATCTATACCTGATGGTGACCCCCATACCTGATGGTGATCATGTCCCCATGGTCGCCCTGGATGTACCAGCTGCAGTTGGTGCCCGGCGGGTAGTTGAGGGGCCAGGCCGGACTATAGATGACGCCACGCCGTTCCGTGTGCTGCTCCAGTTTCCCACTGCAAGCAGCTGTCAGGAGAGGAGGCGGAGAAGTGCTGGCCTCACCTTTGTGGAGGAAGTGGGGGGTGGCAAGGGGGCACTTGAGCCTCCAATGGCCTGAGCACAGGCCTTTCCAAGGTGGGATAAAGGCCAGCCAAGGGTGGGCATGGACAAGGGCAAGGCCACTACTGGAGACTTCACAGAAGCGGTACACATAGCAGGGCAAGGAGCGCCCACAACTTCATCCTGTTCACAAGAGCCTAGGTCCCTGGTGGGGCTGGCGGGCTGGGAGCGAGCCCACCAACGACTCTCCTTGGCACCTCTGAGGTGCAGCCTCTTGGCCTTGGGGCCTCAGTTCAGTTAAGAATTCTGCACCTTAGGCCTGCCTGTCTTCCCCAGGGCTTGACAAATACAAACCTCATCCAGAGAGGGGAGGAGCTTTGCTCACACAGATTTGAGTACCTACTATGTGCCAAACACAGTGAACGGCATGCTGAGGAAGACAGGCAAACAGCCTGCTCGGTGGAACTCGCAGGTTGCGGGGGGGGGGGGGGGGGGGGGAGGTGTGCAGGGAGTGCAGGGGCGTGTGGGTCAGGCTGACTTTATGCAGATCCCCTGAGTGCAGTGAAGATAATAACACAGGACTGAAGGCAGGGGCCAAGGTCTACATGGGGCTGGAAACGCAGGCCGGGTCTGATTACACTTTCTACGGAATTTTACCCCGAGCGCAGGGGGAAGCCACTGGAGGCAGATTTTGTAACCAGATGAGGAAACTGAGGCCCAGAGAGGATAAATGACCAGCCCATAGCCACACAGGCAGTAAGTGGCAGTCAGAATCCACCCTGTTCCTCTGGCGCTCAGCTTTCACTGCCTGGCCTGCACCAACACATTTACGATGTGTCACCCGCACGCTGCATTAGGCAGCAGCGGTGCAGAGTGGCACACTTGCCAGCATGAGTGAGGGACCACCACGCCCAGCCCCGCAGGTTCACTGAACCCACCTCATGACGCATGCCCTCTGCTTCCCAGCTGCAGGTGCAAAGCCCGCCCTGGCGTGCCCTGGCCTCCCCAGCACCACACAAGGCCCTGGGCTTGGCTGCCCCGACCCCTCAGTGCCCCTCCAACCCTTCACCACACGGCTTCATCGACTCCTCCCAGCAGCCTGTGGGAAGGCAGGGCCCACTATACAGACAGAAAGCCTCAGGCTCAAAGGGACAAATGATGGCCTGATCCAGTGACATCACCTCCGCACCTTCCCACTGCCTGGCACCTTCCGCTACTGCCCCGGAAGCAGGGGTCTCTCTGCTGGCTCTCAAGAAGACTCTTCTTTCGGGGCCCCAAACAACATGCCTGCAACTAACGGGCATGAAAGCCCTCCAGCCACCTCTTGTGCTCTTAGGACAAGGACAAAATTCATCACTGTGGCACCAGCCCCTCACCTCTTCTGCCTCATCTCCTCCTGTAACCCATCTTTCCACTCACACCTCCTGTGGTACCTCCCATCGGAGGGAGACTTTGTCTTGCAGCCGTTGGCAGGATGCTCTCCCCGCCCCTGTTAGCCCATCCACTCCCATGGACTTCAGCCCTGTGGCCCCTTCTCCAGGGGACCTTCCCCTTGCATCTACTAAGGTTCCAATGTCCCCACTCCACTTCTCTTCCCTCCCATCCCCCTGCCAGAACCCACCGTAGCAGCAATTTCCCTTTGAGCTGTGCTGGCTCTGGCTCATCACTGTATCCCCAGGATCCCACACAGGTCCTGACACATGGTAGGTGCTCAATAAATATGGTTCAATGAGTGAATCCGTCAGTCCAAGTAACTGCTTAGCATTTAGAGGCACGAAACCCCTTCCACTGGGGTCTGCCATGACCGTGGAGGTCCGGTGGTCCAATACTGTGACTAGCAGGGAGTCCAAACCCCCGATTCAACAGCTCACAAGAAATTCAAAGGACTAGAAGAGAAACACCACCCCCCACCCTAAACCAAGGCTGACCATGCGCAGTTCACCATCAGAGCCCCAAGAGTCCCAGTCACAGAGGCACCAGCCAGGCCTCCCTGCTGGCACTCACTCGGAGCCTGGGAGACCAGATTTCTCACCCAGAAAATGGGAGCGATGTGCTCACAAGAGCAAGGATTAAACAGGGTAGCCTGGCCGTTCCCTCTGACAGGTAAGGCCGCCAGCTTTGTGGACCTCACAGGGACTCTGGCTGCTGGCCTGGGGATGCCCTGGGAGCTGAGGGGTTATGCAAACCAGAAGAGACCTCCTCTGGAAGGGGTGGGGGAGGCTCACAGCGGGGCGGGCCCAGGCTGCCAGAGAGCGTGTCTTCCCCCACGTGGAGTCTCAGAAGCCAGGCTGAGAACCACTGTGTCCTCAGCCCCCAGGACAGGGCCCAGGGCAGAGCAGGGCCCAGTCAATACCTGCTCTGGCCTGGAAGGCTTGTCTAGGCACAGAACACTCATGGAGGCCAGGTTCCTCACCCACACTGGCCAGGACAGCCAGGCCCACACGCCATTCTCTCTCTGGGCAGAATACATCTCCCTCCAGGACTTACATCCAGCCCTCTTCCAGGGGTCAGGAGGCCTGTCCCTCAGACCACTGGCCACGTCAGAAGCAGATGACTGGACAGCTGCCAGCCCAGCTGTACCTCTCAACAAAGCTCCTGACATGCCCCCCGAACAGCCTCACTCTGGAGGGCTGCCCAGGGCTGCCCTAGAACTTTCCACAGCCAGGGCAGCAAGGTCGCTCAGCTACTGTTTGCTCTACTCCAAAGGGGGCCGCAGGGACCGCGGTTTCTGCTGTCAGCCCGACCCACACAGAGTGAATGTGGGGCAGGAAGGAGGCTGTTGTCGGCACAGAGAGCTGGGAGCTCTGGTCAGGGCCTCTTTACTGGACACCTCTTGGCAAAGGGCCTGGAGGGTACCACCAGCTCAAAAGAACCAGCCCCAGGCCTCTCTGTGATAGTAGGCCTCCCCCGCCCAACACACCGCCCGGAATCCAGGCCCAGGCGAGAAAAGGGGGCTTGTGAATCTAGTCCCAGGGCCTCTGCTTGTCCATCAGTAAAACGGGTAAGTACATGCTGCTTCTCTGGGGGTGGTGAGAAGTCTGAGGAAAGTGGCAGTCTCTATGCAGACGTCCATGTGATGGGGTGAGTGGGGTCTATGCCCCATGGGAGGTGAGGGGCATGGCAGGGTGCATGATGATGGGCCATCGGTGAGCACAGCCGGAAGGACTATGTTTGGGGACATACTGATGCAGAATAGAGTCTCAGGGATGTTTGGGAGGCACCCAGAGAGAGGGCTCTCTGAACTTTAACTGGAGGTGTCCTATGTTCAGTTGGGCAGAAAATGCCCTCAGCCCTCACGGGAAAGTGGGCTGCTCAAGTGGGCAAGGGATGACTAAGCATTTTTAGACCAGTGAGCATCTTTCTTTCCTGGTCCAAAGAGTCATCAAATACTCTTGAGAGGGCCTGCGCCTGATGAAGCACAATTTGCAGATCCGGTTTCTAGAGGCGATCAATACTCCAGAAAACCTGCCTGGTGGCACAGACGACAGGGGCCCGGGAGCCCCACCCCAGGAACTCAGGGAAGCTGCCAGGAAAGTGAACAGCCTGAAGACCCTGCCCAAGCCACCCCCAGGTCACAGCGGCCGCATGGCGGAGCCCAGAGTCTGAGGCGTCAGAGGTATTAGTCAGGGCCTGACGACCTGGGCGGCACAGGGTCCGAGGTCCCCAGGCGGCCCAGCCAGGCCCTCGGGAGTGTCTGAGCCGCCTGAGGGCTGGGAAGGGGCAGGGGAACCGCTGTGATCCAGGATCCTCACAGTAGGAGTCACAGGGAAAACCCGGAAAGTGCAAAGTCATGGAACCTTGGGCGGGGGGCCAAGGGGTCCTCAGGTAGCCGGAAGATGTCTCTTAGCAATGCTGAAGGGGTCAGAGCTCGATTCCAGAAAAGCTAGCGCCCAGACCACCACCTGTGACCACATGGACTGTGCACAGCTCAAGACACCGGGGACGCCGTGCACCGGCACCACGACGTGAACAGTGGCCCCTGGAGTTGGGCAGCGAGGACCTTGCTGGGGCCGGAGGCCCTGATAGCTCAGAACAACCAAACACGTGTCCCTGCATGGCTGTCCTCCTCTGCCTGGTTCTGCGGGTGAACCTCATCCCCGAAGCATCGCTCTTCTAAACCTAGGGCCCATGCATGTGGCAGACAAGTCCACCCAGCACACCAGCAGGAGGGCTGGCCCGGGGCTCCCATCTGTAAGACCTGCCACCCCCTTGTGCTCCCTTAGAGCCAGCTGTCCCCTGGAACTTGTGTGGGAGGCTGGCAGTTAGCTGTGGGGGCCAGGACACCAGGCAGGGCTGGGGCGGCTGAGTGCTGAGCAAGGCAGGTCCCTAGGCCACCAGAGTCCGCAGAGGCGGCCAGGTTCCCTGGAGCCGGAGCCAGAACTGGTATGCAAAGAGGACCGGGAAGGAGACTGAGAGGCTGTGTCTGAGAGACAGTCCCGTGAGAGCAGCTTCTGTGGATCCTGGGCCTCCCCATTCCAGTGACCTTGGCTAGCAGACGCGCCACTCCTTGAGACAACCTCAGTGAGTTTCTGCTACAAGCTGGGCCTTGAGCAGAACTGCAAGTCCCAGGCACTTCCTGCCCACCCCCACCCCCACCCCCACCCCGCATGCAGCACAGCAAACAGCAAACAAATCAGCAGCGCCTCCTGGACTGGGGACTGCACACTCTCCCAGCTTCTTGAGACCATTCTTAGATGTCTCGTGGTGGCACGAAGGGCCATCAGGACCGGGACTTATGTATTTGCCAACCCCTGGCAGCTTCCTCAGCAAAGAGCAAATGCCTCGATGGCCTGGGCCGCCCTTCCTGCTCCTGACAGCCTTCAGTGCGGGAGGTGAGCACAAAGATGCCGCATGGATGGACAGACCCAGTCAGGTGGGCAAGAGGCCGGGGCAGAGCTCTGCGTTTTCTCAGATTCTGTTTGTTGGGCATCCGCCATTCACAGGGCCAAATTATTGGTCAAAGTGGTTACCCTCTCTCCTGCATGCCAGTGTTAGAGCCTGCCTTTTCCCAGCCTAGCTGATCCTAGGCTGAGCCCCCGATGCACCTACTTATCTAACTCACACACCAAGCCAGTATTTCCCCTGCCCTCGGCTCTCCGAGGGCCAGGATTACTCAACCTAGCCGATTCTAAACTGTGTCTCTTGTCCTGCCTTGACTTACCCACAGAAGCTCCAACGGATGCTCAGGCCCAGGCCACCCCTGCATCAAACCTGATCAAACCTATGGCCCTGCATGGTGTGGCCAGTGTCCCTTCCTCTCAAGACACATAAGAAACAACTTCTGTCAATGGCATTGACCTCCCCGTGTCATCACTCAGTCACACCTTTATATATTAAATCTCAGATATAATTTAAAAACAGGTGGGCATCTCGTGGTGGCTCATGGCCCTTGGGAACCCCACAGCCAACAGGAAGTACAATCTGTCCATTTTACCAGGCCCATGACAGTTTGCTAGCGGTATTAAGCCACCATGTGTCAACACCTTTGCTGGGCACCTTGCCTCATTTGTTCATTCAACCCCAATAACGGGCTTTGAAGGAGGTTCTATTATTGCACCCATTTTACAGAAGAGGAAACTGAGATTCAAGGAAGTTTAAGCTTTCCCAAGGCCAAACAGATCCTCTGGGATGCAGAAAAGATGCACCTCAGGCGTGGAAGCAGGACCCTGAAGGCCTGTCCTCAGAGATCACTAAACCAGAAGGCGAGGAAGAAGGGAGGAAGGGGAGAAGCATAGTACTCACCTAAAGCAGGAACTGCGCTGCTGAACCGGCCAGTGAGAACGATGTTCACTGTGGGAAACACAAAGACGGTCCAGTGGCGGGGGCGGGAGGGGGAACACTTTTGGGACCCAGGCACCTGACCTGGGCCGCAGCAGCAGCCCTTTCAGGGGCACAAGACAACGCAGCCCGAACTCAAGGCTAGTTCTCGTCCTCTCACAGGGCAAAGCCCAGAGCCCTGGCGCAGGGACCCCTGCTCCCAGCCCGGACCTGCGGGGACCCCAGAGGGTCTCAGACCCACCTGCACACCTACAGCCAAAGAGAGCAGTGTGCAAGCCTGGCTGCGCCAGACCACTCCTGCCACTGCCCACACCTGGGAATGCTGGCTCGCGTGGGAGGGGGTGTTTTGGACTCCTGTCCAGCTTGGGAAGTTCAGGCCTCCACCACCCATCAGAAGAGGCCCTGGCCCAGCCTGGGCAGAGGCTGTCTGTCAAGGGGGTTCCTGCCACCTTGGAGGGCTGCCTCTCTCTGAGGGGCCTTGCCAGCCGCCTCATTCACTAGCAGCCAGGGAGGGAGAGAAGCAGTTCTCATTACCCCATGTTATAGGGGCGCACGGCCTGCAGAGTTCTCACTGGGCCATGCCAACCTTGAGAAGGGAAGCAAAGAACTCTCCTGCCACCCACCCCCTCAAATACCCACCTCCTGGGTTTGCCCTTTGCTCTCATGTACGGCTTTCCTGCAGGGGAACCAGGAGGAGCATATGGGCAAACTGGACTTCCTGGGGGTTCAGGGTGCCCCTCCCCCCAACATCAAGTGAACCAACATCAAGTGAAGGCAGAGGGCATCACTGGAGCAGTCAGCCTCGACTGCTGAGGATGCAGGGACAACTGCCCCGTCTCAGAACACCCAGGCTCTGGGTGAGCTGGGCCTTGGGAAGCCAAAGGGCCTGTCCCCCTGCCCAGCTCACCAGGAAGCCCCAGCATCAGAGAGTCCAGAGCATATGACCACCAGGTTGGGGAGTGAGCACTTTGGGGGTCACAGCTCTTACTGAGACCAGCTCACATCACCCAACAGAGGCAGGTGCCTTCCCTGCTAGACTTTGAGCTCCCTGATTCTTGGAGGGACAGGGGACCATGCAGCTTAAAACCTTCAGGTTTCTTTTTTTTTTTACTTTGTCATTTCAGTGGCTTCAGGAAACCTATGGAGTTATAGTGCCTTCCTCAATAAAGCCACAGTGTCCAGGACTGACCCCAGGCTCAGATAATGGCCTCTCTCCTTTATCACGGTAAATAAAGGAGCCATGTGCATTGAGGATTTAACTCTTTCCTTCTTTCCCCCACACAGGGCCCTGGCAAGGTGAACAGAAAAACTCCTGGGTAGGATAGAAGCCCTCCTGCGCAGGTGCCTGGCCCTTCCCAGACACACCGCTCTGGGCTGACCAGGCTAGCCTCTGGGTCTGAGAAAACGGAAGAGGAAGACGAGAGCATTCTCGAAGTTGCCTCCTGCCTAGCGTCCTGAGTCCAGGCTCCAGCTAGCACCCGCCCCCACCCCGAGTCCAGGCGGAAGACAGAGACTTCTTCAGGAGGCAGCCAGCCTCGCCTTTGTCCGCAGCTCCGGAGGCCCCGACCGCCACCTCCGCCAGGCTAAGCGCAGCGGGGCCGTAGCAAAGCCGCTGCCTGCCCACCCAGCCGCCTGCACACTCGGTCCGCCCGGCGCACGATTTCGAGTCGGGCGGGAGCCGGGTCTCCGCGACCGGAGTCGTCCGCCCAGGCCTACGACCCCAGCAGACCGGGAGCTCTCGCAGTGCCGGCTCCGGAAGCCCCGGCCAAAGACAGGAGGGCCGGGCGGTGGGTCCCGTCAGGGCTCGGCGCGGGTCTGCGAGCCGGGGGCCCAGACTCCCCGGGCCTGCGAGGCCCACTCACCCAAGCAGACGACGGCCAGCTGCGCCCGGGCGCCCGGCGCCCCCTCCGGCCCCGCGGCCGCCCGCTGCTCCATGCCGGGCCGCCCGGCCGCGGGCGCCGCCTCCTGCCCCCCGGGTCCCGCTACGGCTCCGGCTCCGGCTCCGGCTCCGGCTCGGGCTCGGGCTCGGGCTCTGGCTTTGACTTCCGCAGAGGCTGCGGGCCAGGTGCAGGTGGCGGCTCAGGCGGCGTGTTTGTGAGGCAGCGGTGGAGGCCCGCAGCGCGCGGGGCCACATCGGCCACGGCGTCACGGGCCCCGCGGGGGCTCAGCGGCGGCCGCCAGGGTGGACCCGCGCCCGCCGCTGCCCCCGCGCCCCGGGCGCCCCGCCGCTGCCGGCCTGTGCCCGGGGGCCCCCGGAGCGCCCATGCCCCGCGCCGTGCCCCCGGGCCGCCCTGCGCTGCGCCCAGCCTGCCCGGCTGGTGCCGCCGGTGGTGGGTCCGTGGGTCTGCGGGTCCTCCCGCCCGGCCCCTAGCCCGCCCGGAGCTCGGAGGCCGCGCCGCGCCAGCCACGTGACGCGCCCGCCGAGCCGCAGTGGCGCTGGCAGGGCGGGAGGAGGCGCCTCGGGTGCTGGACAGCTCCGTGCCCCCCCACCACCCGCCCGCTCAGTCCTGTCCGTGCCCGCTGGCCCCTGAGCCCGATGCTCAAGGTTGGCCTTGTGCCCAGGGCCCGGGGCAGTGATAGCCTGGCCTCATGCTCTCCGGAGCCCGGCTGGGCAGGGCAACGCAGGGGAGAGAGAGCTGGTAGAAGGCGGCAGCTAGAGAAAAGAGCTACGCAGGGCTGCTTGGGGACCTGCCCCTCCAACCTGACCCTCTGGTTTGCTACAGCCCAAAGAGCCGTGTCATGTCCCTGACATGAATCCTCTGTGCACAGCAAAGCCTGTGCCACTAATTTCGCCTCAGCACACCCAGTCATCCTGACTGGCACTGGGAAATGAAGAGGAGGCCTGCTTTTCAGGATTAGAGACACTATCTGAGAAAGCAGTCGACAGAGGGGCTGGGCTCAGAAGAGGCAGAAACATGAAGAGACAGAAAGAAGGGTTGAGGAGGCCATTTACAGTCAAGCAGGGTCAGCCCTCCTTCCTTGAGACATGTGAAATCAGAGGTCCCCAAAGCACCGAGGCCTGGTATGGCCTGCCCCACCCACGGCTGAGGCTCAGGACCCCTCTGCACCCCTCTCCCCCACCTTTCATCATAGCCTGTTAAGAGAGAAGGTAGGTGTTATATATTAGTAAAAGTTGTAGAGAGAGTAACTAACTCACTTTCACTGTGTAGGCCAAGTGGATTTTAATTTGAAAACTTAGGGGGGAAAAACACCTTTTAGTTTTTCTGGTTTTTCTTCTCTCTCTTGTAATTCCTTTGGTGACTTTTTCCAAAACAGACTTCTTGGGAGATGCATTAAAGGATTTAAGAATCAAATAACAAGATAAACAATTCATTTATGGTAAAGAGCACTGGCCTGCAGTAATTTGGTTTCAGCATTTCCTCAGACTGCTCACTGCCCATATTATGGGCATTTATGCACGGCAAAATGTTTGACTGAAGTAGGGGTGCTGTAGCTTTGTTTTCGCTTCAATGTACATGATAGGTTATGTAAGCAGTCCAGGTTTGAGACCAATGGCAGGAGAGTCCTATTAAGAGCCTGAGGCAAAAGGAAAAATGTGAGCCCCTATATACACTCATCAAAATATCTTCCCATATTTTGAACCAAATGGAAAAGGTTAATAAAAGCTCTACAATCATAAAACGTGACTACACTCAAACTCCAAGTTGCCCAATCTGTTCACACCTCATTGTCAACCCTCACAGAGCCACACCGCAGGGGACTGCGAACCGACGTGGGAACTCTAGAAACAACAGTTTCGGTTGCACAACCGTGTAGGGTCACAAAACAAACAACTACGTCTCTTTACTTAAACACCTGATCATTTGTTCATCGTGGATTTTGGATTTATTTTGACTTTTTAAAACATATTTAATTTTGCCGCTGGTAGTGCTTCGGTGGGTCTTCTGGGCCTCCTGCCTGGCTGGTTTGGCACAGATTTAAACCCTGCTCACCTTGAGACTTGAACTGATACACCGTTTCTAGTTTAGTCCCATGGTGGTCTAGTGCCCTCTAGAGGCTTCTGGAGCACACGGGGGGTTTGCTAGGAGTCCCCAGAGTAGCCCTTGCTCCGTCCTCCCCACCAACCCATTTTACCACTTCTGGAAGAGTTTCTAGCAGCCCAGCTTCTGCTACAGGACGCAGGCTGCAGTCACCTGGTCCTCTGTGCCTCTGAACCTTTTTAACCAACATCCTGTGTTGGCATGAACTATACCAAAGCAGTTTCTGTCCCACCCAACCCATAGTCTTCCAACTAGTAGGGAATTTATAGTGAAAGAGAGTGATGCAAGTAATAGACCCTGAGAATGCACGGACTGGTTGGGACAGATGCAGGGCAGAGGGGCCCAGGTGGGAATCAGGGTCCTGCTGGTGGGAAACTGCCCTTCCTAGTTAGGAAGAAGCCAAGATGCTGTCATTCGCGTGTGTCCCATGAGAGGTGGACTGCAGGCCATTGAGGCCTTCCTTCTGCAATCTCTCAGGAATGAGGAGTTGAGGGCAAGCAGAAGCGAGAGGCAAAGGGTGCAGAGGTGTCCCACATAAATCCCTGTCCAGAATAATGGTGTTGCTGCCATTGCCCACTGCCCGCCTGCCCTGAGGCTGCCGTAGGACACAGAGGAAGCCACTGCCACTGCAGAGCTCCCCCCACTGCCTCCATCATTAGCCTACATGCAGATGCACACTTAAGCCCAGTCTTTTCCAGCTGGCTGCTGGACACTGCATAAGGGTGCTGAGTTGGATGTTAATTATCTTTCTTGATTTCAAATAGTTAGAATTTACTTGAGGGTCAAAGGCCAAAAGTGGTTTGGCAAGTAAAACTGAAACAACCACCCAGTCCAGGCTTCGTGAACCTTATTGTCCCACCTGAACTCTAGACCAGACACCTCCCACAGTCTACACCTTTCCTGCGGCACCCAGTTCAGTTTGTGGCCAAATCGCTTACTGAGCCAATAGCCTCCACTCCAATCCCCCGACACGATCCATCACTAAGTGCTGCTAGTTAGTCTGCACATGTATCTCAAATCTGCCCACTCCCCTCCATCACCGCGGCCACCTCCCTGGTCCCAGCCACCATCTCCTCTCTCTCGGACCTCTGCAGAAGCCTCCTACATGGGCACCTGCCTCCCAATCAACAGCTTGAATGTTTAACATGCAAAGTGAATCAGAAAATGCTCCAGAACAAATTTCAAAGTTTTTAACCTGAGCCTCCTGATCCAATGGGACTAGCCCTGCTTACCAAGCCCCCCTCTCCACCCACCTCTTTCTTTCCTCAGGACGTTCCCACTCTTCCTGGAGCTAATTTCTACTCTTCCTCTATTCTGCCAGGACGACAGTCAAGAGGCAGAACCCGAGTGCGTTTGGGGACCTGGGAGCAGCCCTGTGAGCAGCCGCTCCGGCACGTGGGGTACGGACTGACCCCCCAGGACCCGAGCACCTGAGGCTAGCTACGCAGTCACACCAGCGGCGAGAGGCTACCTATAGCTGCATCTGGGAGCCAGTTTCTCCCTGAGCGGAACCCGCCCTTTAGATGCTTTATAAGATTTCTTCTGGGCCCCAGCAGATGAGCCTCACAAGACAATGTCTTCTAAAAGGCTAGTCTTCTCTCCTGTACATTAAAATTCATGTTCTCAAATGATGTTTTAAAATATCAGCCACTTAGGGAGAAACAAACATGAAAACCTGTGACTAGGGCATTTCTGAATAGGAGCTAATGTTGTACAACTTTGAAAGAAGAGGGTGGAAAGACAGGAAAAGAGGTAAGAAGAGGAAAATAGCTTTAGAGAGAGTGAATTACGGTTTGAATTAAAATACTAAAAATATCAAAACCGCAATGAGATACCACTTTACATCCATTAGGATGGCTATTGGAAAGAACGAAAGAAAATAAGTGTTAGCAAGAATGTGGAAAAGTTAGAACACTTGCACATTGCTAACTGGAATGTAAATTGGTGCAGCTGCTATGGAAAATAGTTTAGCAGTTTCTCAAAAGGCTAAATATAGAACTACCATATGACTCAGCAGTTCCACTTTTGAGTGTATACCCAAAAGAATTGAAAGCAGGAACTTCAGGAAATACTTGTACACTCATGTTCATAGCAGCATTATTCACAAAAACCAAGAGGTGAAAGCAGCCCAAGTGCATTGACAGATAAATGGATAAACAAGATGTGGTATATCCATACAATGGAATATTATTTAGTCTTAAAAAGGAAGGACACTCTGATACATGCTATAACATGGATGAACTTTGGGGACATCAGTCTATGCAAAGTCAGCCTGTCACAAAAGGACAAATACCTTACGATTCCACTGATATGCAGTACTCGAGTACCCAAATTCATAGAGACAGAAATTACAAGGGCGGTTGCCAGGGCCTGGAGGGAGGGGCGACTGGGCCGTTAGTGTTTGCTGGCCCCGAGTTTCAGGTGCGGGGAGAAAGTGCTCTGCAGACAGATGCTGGTGATTGTTGCACAACAATGCGAATGTACTTAATGCCACTGAACTACACAGTTAAAAATGATTAAAATGGTAAATTTCATGTTATGTGTATTTTACCACAATAAAAATACACTATAAATAAACTGGTAAAATTCAGGTTTGTCACAACGTTTCCACCCAAGCTCTGAGGGATGAGGCAGCCAGTCTGGGTCGCTGCTTTGGGTTTAAGGGGTTTCCTAGCGCCTCTGCCTTTCTAGAACCCCGTTCTTTGGGGGAGGGGAGACAAGGCTTGATGCCCAGCACCTGCTCCACCCTGTGAGAGGCCCAGGCACCACCCCCACCTTCCACCCCGCCTCCCACCACCACCCTCTGACCCAGCCCTGCCACATCTGCAGGCACATCTGCGGCGATGGGCTCGGTGTGGCCATGCACACCCAGCCACAGACGCTCTCCAAGCCATTGCTGGTTCTTACAACGTTAATAGACCAATGGCAGTAAAA